TACATAAGGGCTTGTGGCATGATAAAGTTGCCAAGTTTTTGAAGACAAGACGTTCTTCTTCAGGTCCCAGATCTGCATATATGTGGACATGTGTGTGCATATATAATTGCCTGGTTCCATTAAGAGTCTCCCATATGGTCACTGCTTGGTTATTCAAGACATTATTTGAGGAATCTACTTGAAAAAAAGGCTAAGTCTCTGGGAAATTTCTCATGCTGCCTGAGGGCCTAATAGGTTTGAACTGCTGCCTGATTTGACATTTATTTAAATATGAGGTAAAATCTGTTATTTTCCCTGTTTAATATTTTTTGCTTATTTTTCCAATGGGCTTGTTCTTATGAAGTCAATGAAGAGGAAGTGAGGGTGTTCAGCACACAGGACTTTCTCAAACTAGTAAGTATATGGTTCTGGCAAGGGGATAACTCCTGTGTGTGTGTGTGTGTGTGTGTGTGTGTGTGTGTGTGTGTGTGTGTGTGTGTGTTATTTATATGTATGGCTTTGGGGATTGGGGTTTGTGACAAAGGAACCCAAGTAAGATGGATTCTAGCCTGCAGTTCTGGTTGGGAGCACTTTGGGGGACTTAATGTGGGCAGGTTTTACGGTGAATAATTCTTGTAAATTAGATGTCCTTACATGCAATCTATATACCCTTTTCACCTCAAGGGCAGATGGCAGCCATGTTCCCTCTAAGATTTAGCAATCCATGAGCAATCCTGACGGGGAGTGCCTGGGTATCTCAGCGTGCCCACCCATCCCCCACCTGCAGCAGCCTGTGGCCGGGTTGGGATGGGTGGCAAGCGGCCAGATGCAAAGCTGGCAGTGGCAGCGGCAGCAGCAGTGGTGGGGGGTGCAGGAGCACCCCCTTGCTATAGCACTGGGCATCACCCCCAGGCCAGCACCCAGGGGCCATGGTCCCCTACCATCCCCCCCATTGGTATGCCACTATGTGCACGGCATTAAAAGGCTATTGCGCAGCATGATTTTTTATTGTGCACAGCCGCACACATGTGCAGCTTAGACGGAACTGTGGATGACAATCTAGGCCTGACAGCAGGCCACAGACTGCTCTTTGATTCGTTTCCATGACAAAATGTTTCATTGTATTGGGGGAGTGTTGTCCCCAGGTTCAAACTATAGTTTTGCAATAGCTTTGTTGCAAGTGTGGCTGGCTGAGCCTGAGGAGAGCTGGAAGGAGAGAAGGTTGGTTTCGACCTGGAAGGGTGTGGGAAGTGGGGTCCCACAGGGTTCGGTCCTTGGACTGATAATCTTTAATGTCTTCATCAGTGACTTGGACGAGGGAGTGAAATGTACTCTGTCCAAGTTTGCAGATGACACAAAGCTATGGGGAGATGTGGACACGCCGGAGGGCAGGGAACAGCTGCAAGCAGATCTGGACAGGTTGGACAAGTGGGCAGAAAACAACAGAATGCAATTCAACAAGGAGAAATGCAAAGTGCTGCACCTAGGGAGGAAAAATGTCCAGCACACCTACAGCCTAGGGAATGACCTGCTGGGTGGCACGGAAGTGGAAAGGGATCTTCCTAGTGGACTCTAAGATGAACATGAGTCGGCAGTGTGACGAAGCCATCAAAAAAGCCAATGGCACTTTATCGTACATCAGCAGATGCATGACGAATAGGTCCAAGGAGGTGATACTTCCCCTCTATCGGGCGCTGGTCAGACCGCAGTTGGAGTACTGCGTGCAATTCTGGGCGCCACACTTCAAGAAGGATGCAGATAACCTGGAGAGGGTCCAGAGAAGGGCCACTCATATGGTTAAGGGCCTACAGACCAAGCC